TAAATTGAAGAATTCACTTAAATTTTCCTTACCATGAGACCAAAGTGCAAAGTAGTCATCCAAGTATCGCATGAACACTCTTGGTTGCAGTGGTAACTTCTCGAATTCCTTTTCCAACTTGTTCATGTATACATTTACCAAAAGAGGTGAGAGTAGAGATCCCATCGGTAGTCCAAATATTTGCTCGTAGATAATGCCGTTAAATGTAAAATATGTGGTCATAATTGTCAGGTAGTGGTGTTAACGACTCCTTCCGTAACCGTTCTGCCTCCAGGATATCCTCTTCTCGCTCCAATATCTCCATTAAGGCACTTACCGCCTTCTCACCTAAGATGTTTGTGTACAATATTAAACCAAATCGAAATAAGCTGTACTATAACATTTGTGGGTTGGCACACAAGAGACTTGGTATTAGTGATAGAAACAGGATAGAAACGGCGGAGACCCGAGCTAGTTGGCAGGCGTTAGGTCTGTTGTAACAGACACGTGGTCCATTTAGCAAAGGAGTGACCATGACATTCAGAGGCTTGAGTCTCGAATTAATCACCAAGACGCAGGGGAGTGCGAATGGCGCCTCGAGTAGGACAGTTGTGGTGGCAGGAGTAGAGTGAAATAGATGAACAAAGGTAGAGCAGACGGATTTTGCGGAGCAAGATAGAGACTGGGATAAGACTAGGAAAGAGGACTGCATAATAATAAAGCAGACTCTGATCAACATTTCTTGTACAAAGATGAAGGGGGGTGAGAACGACAGTTAAAGTGTGAAGGTGTCATGTCGCTCAAAGGAGCACACCACACAATATCAAAATAAAGACGGTAAAAATTGTAATAGTAAAGGTATGATAAGATGATACAGGAAACGCGAATAAGCCACAGCAGAAGGGGAGATACCACAATTGTTTAGCACACGTTTGGTCAAAGGATCGGCTTCACTTGTTGTATGGTGCTAAGAATGGCGATACTCACTGACGATGCCGTCGAAACGTTTGGGAATGTACCACGTCCACGCATCAATTTTGGAAATGATGATGCAGACAATGGACTCCGGACCAGATGCGTTCCTCTAAATATTCCTACCAATATGACCAAGTTTCGAAAACAAGGTCAAAAAACTTCTGTACAACGAAAGAAGACTGCGACCACACAAAAGGCCACACCATCTTGGTCTTCATAACTTCGATAAAAGTGTAGGATTTACATCGCGTCCATCGTAAAGTCAGTCACATTTTGAAAATGTCGATACAAAGGGAAGGACAAGAGGATCAGTAAAATTAGATGTGTATGAAATGGATCCATGACAAAGTCTGTAGGTTTAGAAAAACCAAAAATCTTTAATGCCATGGAGAAAGCAATGGCGAAATGAAAAAAAGATGTCGGAGTTCTACAACTGTTTACAGGCATGATGAAGAGTATCTTCGACATGCCTTAAAACGCCGTTGCATATACGCCTGTATAACATTGTACAACTACTTATACTAGAAAATGCACTAATTGTTGCGCAAAGAGATGAGTTTCCATTTGGACAGATGAGTTTGGAATGCAACGGTGAGTTGAATACTTAAGAGGTGAATGAAGCAGGAATATGAAAGCTAATTAGTAAAAATATTAGTTTAGATGTGAATAAATATAAAATTTTCGTAAAATACAACCTAAAATTTGTTTTCCTCCATGATCACTTGAGTCCTTCACTGCCCTTGATGAGACCTGGAGGCGTTAATAAAATGCATAATAGAGAGCGTTAATTTTTAGGGGATAAGTGTTAATTTTAGATATTTTTGAATCACTCAAGGTAGGATTTAAAAAATTTTTGACCTGGGAAATAAGTGTCTTTGGAACTAGGAATACGGGCTAAAAAAGCCCAAGTTGTAAATAGGACGGTTAATAGAGATATTAAAAGAACTCGTGAGCAAGACGAAGCCTGTCCATGAATTCCTAGATAAGTTGGGCTCATTTAGGATCCAGGCTAAAAGGATAGCAACAGCTCACTTACGTAGTAATAAAAAGGTTAAAGTGATGATCAGGCAAACAATGATTATAACCAAAAAGGAAGGCAATAAAATTGGACCTATTATTGGTTTTTATTCAGCCAATAAATAAGGCCAAATGGAACAATTAAGCCCAGCTGTTAAATTTTGACAGGAGAACTGCATGTTATAGCTCATTAAGACCATTGTACTTGCTAATAGATCTCAAGAATCAGTGTACATAAAATATTACTAATATTTCTAATATTTACATATCGTCATTTTTCCCGTTGTGGAATACAAAGCAAGGATAGAGTAAGGTTATGATATTGCGATCTAGATAGAGGATTTGGATGACCATTTTAATTATCTCTTAAGGAAAGCAGGTTCAATGCTCCCTTCCATGTGATTGCTTTTTACTTCTTGATGACAACGCAGCTGGAGTAGAAGAAAATTGAAATAAAAAGTAAATCAAAGCCTCCATACCTCTCGACAAACAGTGGCAATATGACTTTGTTCCATACAGGTCTCTGTGACTACATCAGTTAATGACCCGCCATCTAGGTACTCCATGACAACCCAGAGCTCGTGACCAACCTGAAAGAGAGAAGAGGAATTTGCATATGTAAAGTTTATATCTCAGCTATGCAGGATTATTGACAACAAGGCTATTGAAATGATGCGAAGGAGTTTAGAAAACCATAAAGAACATTTTAAAATCAAGCTGGAAAATTAAGGAGTGATAATGATTTTAGAATATCCAAACCTAATAGTCAAAGTAATGCTATTATTGTTTAAGGATACAGAGACAAATAGTATTTCTACATTCAGCAAGATGAGGTCTATGAATACAAACAGTATTCATATAGAGCCAAATATAGCTTAGTTTTACAACGATAGCAAGATTTTCCTTCAAGAGTTTGTAAGAAAAGATAAACAAATAAACATAATAATAATAATCGAAGGTATGAAGACCAAGATGGTATGGCCTTTTGTGTGGTCGCAGTCTCCTTTCGTTGTATCCGTAATACCAAGTCTATGACTTCTTATGCCCTAGTTTCTTGTGTGCCAACCCACAAATATTGTGGTTCAACAGTGAACCTAAGCAAAGCAAGTAGTACCTCAACATTTGTGGGTTGACACATAAGAGACTAGGGCATAGGAAGTGATATACTTAGTATTAAGGATAGAAACAAGATAAAGGTGGAGACTGGAGCTAGTTGGATCACAATAGGCCTGTTTTTGCCATCAAGGTGGTCCATGTAGCAAAGGCTTGATTGAGATTTACTGAGACGGTTAAGCCTCGAGTTAGTCACCCAGACAAAGGGGGTGGGAAATAACGCCTTAGAAGCACAGATGGGGTGGCAGGGATCGAGTAAAATACGGGAACCTGGGAGATAGCAGACTAATCCTACGAGGTAAGAGGAAGACGCTGATAAGACCTAGAGAAGGAAGACTGTTTAACAATAGGGCAGTCTCTGATCCACATTCCTAGCACAAGAGT